TAGGGCACCTCTGCGGAGCAGGCCCCTCTGAAAGATCCTGGGGCCCGGGCCAGGCCCACTGCTGCCAGAGGCTGGGGAGCCTAGTGGTGGGCAGGGCGAGGGAATCTCCCCATCACCTGCCCCCACGCAGGGCTCTCACACTTTACTGGGCAGGGACGGCCCCTCCCACGCCACGCCCCTCCGCTCCCCGGCAGAGCCCGGATGGCCCAGCTGTGGCCCGCTCCCTCCCTCCGCCGTCCCCTCCCGGTGCAGCCCACTGGGGCATCCAGGAAAGGCTGGAGCACGTGGTTGATTAGGGTCGTCCAGAGTGCCCCTTGTCCATGAAGTATGGTGGTCAAAGGAGGCCCCACCACCCACCCTCCCTCCCAGCTTGTCAGAGTCTGTAGCTCTGCCAAGCTGGAGGTCCAGCCCTGGCAGCAGCCGAGCACACCCTGCTTCACGGAGGAAGAGCTCAGTTCCAGGCGACAGCCTGGTGCAAGTCCCCTTTTGGCAGGAAGGGTATCGCCTTTCCACCCAGAAGCCGGGTGTTGAGAGGTCCTTTTTCTACCAGCACACATCACAAACAGCTAATCGTGAGTGCTTAAATAATGGACTCCCTTTTTTTATTATTATTAATGAAAGACACAGATAAACTGTGGGCAGGAATGATCTGCCCAACCCCAAGATGGCAGGGTGGCTTTAGGAGAGACAGTCCATTTGGTGACCTGTGAAATGGAGCACCAAGTCCAGCTTCAGGTACAGCTGGATCCAGGTGCATCAGCTCTCAGCCTTCCCCACACTGGCGGTACCAGGTGGGCCTCCTCTGGGGTGGCCCTACTGAGGACAGTATGGAGGCCACCAGATCAGATGAGCCCCACCTTTCCCCAGACCTGGCCACAGTCCCAGGACTGCTCCTGGAGGTGGGGCTACATTATGTGCCACCTCGAAGCTACCCTGGTGAGCTGAGCAGGTGTGCCTGGGATCCCAGCCCATCCTGAGTCAAGTGGCCCCTGAGCCTGCAGCAATGAGGGGAGAACAGTTGTCTCGAAGAAAAGTGGGCCTTCTGAGGTGGGGTCTGCCACACTGGGCTAGGAAAAGAACAAGAAGGTGACTCCAGGAGCGGAAGGAGCTGGGAAGTGGTCCCGGAAGGAAGTAGCCCAGCTCAGGCTCTCATTAGCTGTGTGATACTGAACAGGTTACTTGGCCTCTCTATGCCTTAGTTTCCTCATGTATAAAATAAGAATAAAAATAAAAAATAAAATAAGAATCATAGTATGCACTATATTGAGGACTAGATGAGCTAGGAAAGGGCTCAGATCGGGTGTGGTGGTCCCCACTTGTCATCCCAGCACTGTGGGAAGCTGAGGCAGGAAGATCAAAAGTTACAGCTCAGCCTGGGCAATTTAGCAAAGTAAAATATACAGAAAAGGGCTGGAGGTGTGGCCCAGTGCAAAGGGCCTAGGTTGAGTCTCCAGTACCACAGGCACCCAAAGGACAAGGAAAGAGAGAGAAGGAGGGAGAAGGGAACAAGGAGGGAGGGAGGGAAGGAGGGAACAAGGAGTGAAGGGAGGAGAGATGGAGGCTAGATCACAGGGTTCCACCCTGAGCCGTCTTTGGTGTTGTGGGCCGAGCCCCTGCCTCACGGCCAGGCGCCGCTGTCCTTCCCCAGCAGGCACGGGCAGGGACACCCTCAGCGTGGGCTTTTCCTCCTCCCTGACCCCTGTGTGCCCACAGGGGGAAACTCAGGCACTTCTGGAGCTTGACCTCTGACCCTTGACCTTGACTTCTCTAGGGTCCTCAGACCCGGAGGTCCCCACCCCAGCGTGGATGACTGGATGTACCCCAAGTCCTGGACAGCAGGAGCAGGGTGTCTGTCCTCATGAGGCCCCAGTGAGGGAGGGATTGCTGAGGGGACCAGGTGGGGGACCTTCCCGGCCTGTTCAAGGTCACAGCCAGGAGTCCGCCTATTCAGACAGAGCCTCCTGTCCAGCCCCCTCAGATCTTCTGCTCCCCCCCACCCCACAGGAGAGGGCCAGGAAGCTATGAAGAAGGAGATGCCCCAGGTCTGGGGCACCAGGACCCAGCCCCCCAGCCTTGTGTCTCCGCCAGCTGGGAGGCAGGGCCCAAGGCCCAAGGAAGGCGCAGGCGCTGTCAACAGGGGAGTGACTTGGGTGGTGTGGGGAGGCTGCGGAGGCAGAGCCACTTGCTGCCTGTGGGGGCGGGAGAGCCGGGGCGCCGAGCCCAACCGCCCCTCAGCTAGCAAGGCTTGGCCCATCCTGCGGCCACTGCCTGGTCCCCGAGACCAGCTGGGAGGGGGAGGCGAGGAGCTGTACGCCTGGCAGGTTGCTGGCGCTGCCCTCCCAGTCTCCGTGCAGACTGGCTGGCTAGGCTGGGGCCGGCTCGGGCCTGGCCTCAGTTTCCCTTCCAAGGGCGCTTCTGTGACCTGGACACTTGGGCACTGTGGCTGCTTTGCCACCTTGCCACTTCCCCTGGTTTTCCCTTGCGTTCCTTCCTGCGCCCAGCACAATGGGGGGCGTACAGTGGGCACCCAATTGGTGCCGTGGGCTCAGACCCACAGAGCTCATAGGGTCTTTTCTGGATGTCCTACCCCACTCGCCATCCCAGGGGCACCCCTACCTACTACCACGCACACAAATGACAGGAGCTGGGCCCTGTTCCCTAGGAAGAAAAGGCCTGAAGTGGGGCCCAGCCCCCCCCCCAGCACCCCATGGTGTCCAGCACATAGTGGGTGCTCGGGGAGAATGCAGTGGAGTAGGGAGAGCACGGGCTTGAGCGTCAGGCTTGGAGTGGATTGCTGGCTCCCGCTGACGCCGTGTGTGAGACATGGGGGCGACTTCCTCCTGGGCCACTCTCAGCAGCAGAACGGAGCATGTAACTGCCCCTCAGGGTCCCTGCCAGGGCACAGGGGCTGTGCTGTGCCCAACACCCATGTGGAATGCAAGGAACTGTTGGTGGGAGGCTCCTTGCACCCCACATGCCTGGCAACAAGGGCTGGCGGTGCAGCAGTCACATGGCACTGAAGCTTGCCAGGGAGCGCCAGTCATTCCTCCTCACACCTCTGGATCCCGGTCATTTGGCCTTTTGCAGAAGTAGGGGATGGATGTGCCACTGCAGAGCTTAGGGCTCCATTCCAGGCTGGGGAAGACCCTGATGCAGCAGATGCCCAGAACTTGTCCTGGCGGGGAGCCCCAGAGCCGGTGCCAGGGTGGGCAAGGTGCCCAACACAGGCAGCCCCGAGGGCCCCGTCAGAAAGACCCCGTGGGGCCCCATTCCTCTGCCCTCAGCCTGCTGTGGTCTTGTGCCCTGCTCCAGGAGGGGGACTGTGGCCTGTGCTGGGCAACCTGGCTGACCTCAGGTTGCCCCTCATTCCTTAGCTCGTCTGTCAGCTCCCTGCAGCTCGGGACCGTGACTGTGCTGGGAGGATGGGATGGAAGCCCCCACCCACCCTCCTGCCGCCGTTCCTGGTACACAGTAGGTGCTCAGTAAACAACAGCTGTCCTGCTGGGCCCGGGGGAACAGCTTGGCCTCCTCCAGTGCTCACTGGGATTGCAGGAGGCCCCCTCTGTGTGTTTGTTTGCTGCCGACACGGGCCCGATAGGCTCCGTGTCTTTCTTCTCTCCTCCTCGGTCCCCGCACGGAAGCTCCAGGAGCAGCAGTTTCCAGAGATTGAAGGCAAAATTGCTTGAAAGCCTGTGCTTTTATCCTCCAATTTGTAGCCATTTAGCAGGGCCAGGCGGAGGGGCAGCCAGGGCTCCGGCTGTGCTGTTGTGCGGAGCGCCCACTGCCGCGGAGACCGTTATTGTCCTTTCCCAGACAGCTCTGGGCTGAGGGACAGACGGCCCCCGGGCCCAGCGGGCGGCGTGGGGCGAGGGAAGCCGGAGGAGGAAGAGGAGGTGCGGGGCCTTCCAGAGACGGGCGTGCGCCCTGCCCTCCCTGCTCTCAAACGCTCAGGCCAGGGTCCAGCCCCGGAGGACAGGGCCACACAGCAGCCCCTGGCTCACCCTCCCTCTGGTCAGCACAGAAGGGCCTGCGTGGCTTCTGCCAAGGAGAAGCTCCTGCCCTAACTGGAGGGCAGCAGGCCTGGGATCCAGAGAGGGAAAGGCTGGAGGGGGCAGGGGTCCACTGAGGTTTGGGGGAAGTTTCCCGGGGAGTTTGGAAAACAGTGTGGGCCAGCTGTGGGGTGCGGAAGTCTGGAGAAGGAAGGCTCCTGTGGGCTGGCTTCCCCTCTGCAGCGCTGAGAATCACAGCTTCCGCAGGTTCTGCCTTGTGGGGGGCGCTGCTCTCCACGGGGCGGGCACCATGGCGCCAGCGGCGAGGGACTGGCTGCAGGGCAGAGGTCAGGGGGTAGGGAGCGGAAAATGAGAGCCCGGCAGAGCGAGGTCAGGGGAGAGCCCTCCGGCTTCTCCCATTTCCCATTTCCTGAGGCAGCCTTCTGTCACCATCAGCTCACGAGGACAGCACCGTCGACCCTGCTGCCTGTCCTCTTCTTACGGTGCCCATCTTGCACCTTCAGCCAGTCCAGGATGGCAGCTCTGGGAAAGATGCCGCCTGCCGTAGGCTCATCCGCTCCCGGCCCAGTGCCCCCTCCAGCTGCCGGAAGCCCGTGTGGTTACCACAGCCCCTCCGCCACTCCTTCCCAGCTCTTCCTCAGAGTGTGAGTATGGCCAAGACCGTCCCTGTGCCCTGCGTCTCGCTGGCGTGCAGCCCTGCTCCCCAGGGAAGGGCGTGTGTGAGGACGCAGCCCCTGCCCAGCTGGCCTGGCTGTGTCAGGGCAGGGGCCTCGGTGTGCAGTCTGGCGGGGTGTGGGCCGGGCTCCTGCCCAGGCGGCAGCACTCATCCCTTGCTGAGGTTAAGCTCCAGGGTGATGGGCCCTCCCTTTCTTCTACTAAGGCCCCTGTGCCTCTCGTCCGCCTCCTGGGGGTCTTGTCTCGTTGGGGCCTCTCACTAGAGGCCAGGAGCTCTGAGCACCACCACAAAGCACTCAGGAATCAGCACCAATAAAAAAATACACTTTATTGTCACTTCACATTGGCAGGGGCAGCACAGCGGGCGTGAGGGCAGCAGAGCATGCAGAGCGCCTCTGGCAGGTGTACAGGACGTGGCAAAGTGTCCCCCTCGGTGTCCCTTGGCCCTGATCTCCCACTGACTGTCCCTGCAAGGTTCAGGAGCCTTAGGACATGGCCAGGTCCCCTCCCACCCAATAACAACAAGGAAATGATGGCTGAGCAGATGGGGCTGGCGGGACAGGCTCTGGCCGGCTGAGCAGGCATCGCATGGCTTTGGCTGTGCTCAGAGCCGCCAGTCGGGCCATCCCATTGTCCCGAGCCCGGGGGCGGGGCGGGCAGAAGCAGCTGGCACAGCTCAGCCGGAAGCCGCAGCACAGAGGGAGGAGGGCGTGGGAGCCCACACCTGCCAATCCAGCCCTGAGCTCCTCGGCAATTTTGTCTCTCTTGATTAAACATCCAAGGAACATCAAGTTCACAGACGTGCTTTCTTCTTCTTCATCTTCCTGAAAACACCCAGAGTGGAAAAGCGGAGAACGGCTTTCAGGTTGCCGGGGCACTTGACACTCGGTGGGGCAGCGAGCTGGGGGAAGAGGGATGAAGGAGCGGGCCCTGGGCCCGAGCAAGAGACAGACAGCAGCAAGGGCAGCGTCCCGGGCTTGTCTGCAGGAGAGGTGTGCAGGTGTGTGCGCGTGCGGGAGCACACTGCTGGGTCGGGAAGCTGGAGCACACACCGTTCACTTTGAGAAGAACACCAACCACCAAGTGTGAAAAGGATGGACGCCACTGGGCACTGCACTGTCCGTGGGGGTGGACAGCAGGCCTGGGACCCACGGGTTGGCGCCCTGGGATGGGAGCAGGGTCTGGGGAGCAGAGCTCACCATCCACACCCCAGTTCCGCTAGCGAGGGCCCCAGCCGGCCCACCAGGCTGCCCCCGGTGCAGGGCAGATGGTCTAAGGGCAGCTGCCGTGACACTCAGGGTGGGCCGCAGACAAGGTGCGGCTCACTCCCGGGGCCGCCCAGGAAACAGAGTGAGCGGCCGTGTTCACTTCCAGCACTGCTCCAGGGAGCCGTGGGGCTGGACCTTGAGCTTCTGAGGACAGAGCAGCTTGGTGAAGGCCCGGCGGAAGCTGTAGTGGCACAGGGGGTAGAGGACCGGGTTGACAGCCGAGTTGGCCCACAGAAGCCAGAAGGACGTCTCGTACCAGTAGTCGGGGACGCAGTGGCCGTGGCAGGCAGCTCGGATGATCATCAGCAGCGTGTACGGGGCCCAGCAGAGCCCGAAGATGCTCACAATGATGGCCAGGGACTTGGCCACCTTCTTGTCCCGTGACAGGCGGAAGCGCTGCGTGATGCTCTGGGAAACCATCTTCATGCGCTTCTCCAGAGATGCCGAGGATGCGGAGGGCTTAGAGCCCCTCTTGAGGGAGCGCGGCCTTTCCGTGCCCCTCGAGGAGCTGCCGGAGCTGGAGGTGGGCGAGGCTGCAGCGCCCCCACCGCTGCCACCCCCGAGGGCCGCCTCTCCAGCCTCAGCGCCGGGGCCGGCCTCGCCCACCCCATACCTGTGCAGCGGCGTGGCCTCCCCCTGCCCTTTTGGCCAGCAGCCCCAGCAGCCCGGAGGTGGTGGGGGCGGGGAGGGCTGGGCCTCCGGCGGGGGCTCTGGGCCAGCCTCTCGGGGCCCGTCCAGACGAAGGCGGGTGCGCCTCTGGATGTTCAGGTAGATGCTGAGGTTGAAGAAAGTGACGCTGAGGAAGGGCGTGAAGAACTCCAGGGTGGAGGCTGTGATGAGGAAGTACCAGTTGTAGAAGAACTCAGCATAGCAGTGGCCCTCGGGGATGGAGCTGCCTCCAGACAGATACTCCCAGCTCAGGATGGCCGGCCCGTACAGCAGGAAGGCCAGCACCCACACCAGTGCCATCTTCTGCACTGCCCGCCGCGTGTCGCCCTGCTGGGCCCGGTAGGACACCTGCAGCAGGACATGCAGGCGAGGAGGGAAGGTCAGGCTGGACGGCCCTTCACCCGCAGCGCTGTTCCTTGTTCTCTGCCGTCCCCGGGAGTGGGCAGGGACCTCCCCCGTGAGCTCCAGCTGGCTGCTGTCTTGCCACACTCCGCAGAGCCCTGGAACTCCCCACAGTCAAACCAAACCTTGCTTCTTTACCAGCCCGACCAGCAGTGAGCTCTGCCAGTGTCCCGTCCTTGCCCTGTGTCCCTGGCACTAGACTTACACTCAGCCACTTCCAGGAGCCACAAGCAACTGAGGCCTCTCGCAAGGGCCGGAGCCAAGCTGAACCATTAGCTGTGCAAGAAAGGAGGTCCCAGCTCTGCCCTGCTCAAGTGCTCACGGCCCTAGGAGCTGGAGGTGTAGGAATGAAGCTACGTGCTAGCCCACTGCTAGAAGAAATCACACACACACACACACACACACACACACACACACACACACAGTAACCAAGCATCCAAGGTGTGCATAAGGACCTCTGGAAGGAGTACAGGCAGAGAGGGTGGGGCCTGTAAGTCCTGGATAAGAGCGTCCAAGTGCAAAGAGCAACCAGCCAGTAGGGGGCAGGGCGGCAGGAGGGGCCAAAGATCCAGTTGGGGGTCTCAGGTGGAACGCTGAGGCGGAAGTGAAGGGGACCTGTACTCCTCACCCACATCAGCCTGATGGCTTTTACCTTAGGGACAACGGGAGCAATGATCAGAGCTACAGCTATGCATGGGTCTATGGCCATGCCTTGGTCTGTGCTGAGCACCTTTTGGATGTTAGCTTATTTAATCTCACAACAGCCCAAGACTGCCCCATTTCCCTGGTGACTCGGGGAGGGCAGGAGGGACTGAAGAGGACCCCAGGCTTGTGCTTTATGTATTCTGTCCCGTAATCTTCCTAGGCTTCAAAGAAACCTGCCCCTCCCCCGATAAGGCATGGGGGGAGGGCATTCAGGATGAGGAGGGGAGTGGTGCTGCGGCTCCACCTCTCACTGGCATCCACACAGCTCCCACTCAACAGATCCAGGCAGGTCCAGGGCTAACTCACGACGGCTGCTCACACAAGGGGACCTGGCGAAGCTGGGTGCTGCAGCGCCCCCTCCTGCAGTGTTGTGCAGGCACACGGAAGGGACAGGCACTTTGGACCCAGCCCCAGCCAGAGGCTGGTCAGTGACACCCCTTCCTGCAGGGGCGTCTGATCCCAGATCAGACTCCCCGCTTCCTCCCATGCCAGGCTTTCCCTTGCTAGCAGCTAACGGCCTCCAAGTGGGCACATGGCTAAAGAGTGCCCACAAGTCAGGTCTGAGGCCAGCAGGGATCAAGTCCACCCGACACCCACCCACCCCTCGGGGCTCCCCAGGGGTGAGGCGCGGTCCTTGCAGCCCAGGACTCACCGCCCTGGTGACGGACAGGAAGCGGTCATAGCTGATGAGGACGATGTTGAAGACGGAAGAGGTGCACAGCAGGTAGTCCACCACCAGCCACAGCTTGCAGAGGCCCCGGCCGAAGGTCCAGCGGCCCGTGAGCACATAGGGCACATACAGCGGGATGCAGAAGGCCCCTGTGTGAGAGTAAGGCTGCGATGGAACCGTGGGTGACGGGGGCTTGGGTCAGACCAAGCACACGGAGAGAGGGCAGGCCGGGGCTCCCAGGCAGGCACCGCCTGTGGCTAGCACCCCTTACCTTACCCTCCAGTCCCCCCAGGCTGCAGCCCCCACACCGCCCCCAACCCCACTGAGCCCCCGGACTTTGAGCAGGAGAGGGGATCGGGACGTGGGGACCCCTGGACTTCTATCTGGCCTTTGCAGCCCCCAAGGGGAGGAAGGAAGAGCATGTCCTTTCTCCCCAGCCCCCGCGCTGGACCAGCCCCTACCCCCTAGCTGCTGGACAGCTCCATCCTCAGTTTAAAAATCGAAAAAGCCTTTTTCCTTGGCTTGAAGGGCTCTTGGCCCCAGCCCCGCCAGCCACTCCCACCGCCAAAACCGCCTTGCAGTGTCTGGGAGAAGCATCTGGCAGCCCCAACAGGTGTCTGGCGCTCGGGCCCCCTCTGCGCGCCCCGCCCCCCGCCCTCCAGCCGGCAGCAGCGCATGGACACGTGAGCGCACGCTCCTTGAGCATCTCCCCCACCCCACCCCCGCCTTCCCCGCGATCCCCTTCCCCAACGCCGCTCCAAAACATCCCCCTTCCGTATCCTTTCCACCAAGCTCCCCAGCCTCCCCTCTACAGCGCCCTCCGCCTGTCCTGAGCCCGCCGCAGCCTTTGTTTGGCTACGGCGCAGAAAGCCAGCGCTGCACCCGCGGCCGCTGCGCCTTGCGCTGCGCCGAGCACCCGCCGGCTCAAGGCCCTTCCCGGAGAGGTTTCTCCGCAGCCCCCGTCCGGCCTGAGAAGCAAGGAACTTCGCCTGCGCCCACTGCCCCAACGGTTCTGGACGCCCCCTCCCCAGCCCGGGCCCCAGAGGAGTGTGTGCCGCCCCAGTTCCGGGCTCCCAGCTCAGCTGGTCCTGCAGGGTTCAGCGCCCCGGGCTCGGGCAGCGGGCGGGGTCTGGGGGCTTTACCCACGAGGAAGTCGGAGATGGCAAGGTTGAGCAGAAAGAAGTTGTTCTGGGTGCGGAGGCTCGAGTCGGCCACGAAGGCGAGCATGACCAGCGCGTTGCCCAGCACCGTGGCCACGATGAGCAGCGCCATGAGCGCGGCCAGCACCGCGGTCCAGGCGGCGGAGAAGCCGCGCGCCCCGCCCGCAGCCGCCCGGAGCCTGCGAGGGCGCCGTGGGCTGCGGCTGTGGGACCCGAGGGCCGGCGGCAGGATTGTAGCCACGGAGCGCCCCGGGAGGGTGGTGCGCGCCGGAGCCGCCGTGCCCTCCCGGAGCCGCCTCCGCCTCTCCTGCGGGTGCGCGATGTGAGCGCCTAAACGAAGTCCTTCCGAATAAACGTTTCCGCTCCGCGCTGGACTCCTGGACTCCGTTCTTCGTGGGGAGTGGGCGCGGCGGCAGCCAGGCTCTTCGGAAGCGGTGTCGCTGGGAGGCGACTCGGAGGCACGCGTCCCCGGGAGGCGTGAGGTCCCTCGGCCGGGCAGGCCGGCCCCTTTAAGGCAGCGCCCCGACGCTCCCTCCCCGCCGGTGACCCTTGCTCGCCTGCCGCCGCAGCAAGGCTGGGTCCCCGTCCTCTGCGCGTCCGCCCTTCCTGCCCTGCCGTCAGGTAATGCCAGCCTCCTCGGCCCCCTGCACCAGCTGCCCCAGGCAGACGTTCTCGCTGGCCCCGAGCCAGGTCGGACGTCCGGGAGGGGTCGGCCGTCGCTGCCCTTGTGCAGCGGGGCTGCCCGGTCCCGCACATCACCCCTAGTCCCGGAGCACGCGCTTCTGCAGTGCTCCTGCTTCCTGGCGCGGAATCGCTGACAATAGTTTCTTCCTCGCTCCCGCTCTCGGTGTCACCTGTCTGCCTCTTCCAGCTCAGGGGCACCTGGGTCCAGCTTTCCCGGGAACACGGGGACGGGGTTGGGGACGGGAAGCTCGGTACCAAGGGTAAGGTATGTGTGGTAGGGGTACATACAGGAAAGGGGTGCTGAGTTAGGGCTAGAGAGAATTTTCTGGGTCTTTTAAAATTATTATTATTTTTTTTTTTAAACAAGGTTTTGCTGTGTAGTTTGGACTGTGCTTTAGTTCACTATGTAGCTGGGCGTGGTGGACCATGCATGTAATCCCAGCGCTGGGGAGGCTGAGGCAGGAGGATCACTGTGAGTTCGAGGCCAGCCTGGGCTACAAAGTGAGCT